AAATATGGCATACAATATTCGTGTAGCACAGCCGTTGCTGTTGATCCTGCGAGGCTGCGCCGCCGCGATGAAGACGCCGGCAGTTCCGCGGGATATGCGCCGACGCGACCGCGCGGGATGTTGACAGTATGGAATAGCGGCTGCACGCTGTGGAAGACCGCGCGCCAAATTCGAGGCCCGGCGCCACGTCTCCACAGCGTCAGGCGGATGGTCTATACTTTTAGAAGATGACATGATTATATAATATATATGGACGATATGTGTCGGAATTTGAGATCAAAAACAGTAACAAAAATCGCTGAGACATGCTCCAGCATTAGCTGAATAAAAACAATTAGAATTTAATATGAACAAAACAAATACAATGCTATACCAGTACCATACTACCATTTCTGTGCACAACTCACCTTCTCAGCTTCTCACTCTTCTCTCTCTACATGTACACATGGTTCACCAGTCACTACTCTAGATTGCTTATTGTTTTATTACTCTGTAATAAACATACAGTATGAACGAGGGACTACTGTGAAACGACTCACCTGTATTATGACAACGTATCTCTAGGCAGCCCGTTGGTATAGGGTTGTACAGTGAACAGATAACGCTGCAAAGTTATGCAATTTTGACAGTGACGTCATTCCAACCTCTGTGCGTGAAATGTCCTGTGTTTTGCTGAAACTTTTACCTGTCGACGCACTCGTTCACTTCCGACAGCGAGTGAAATAGAAGAAATTTTCCTCTTTCGATGCGAATGCATCGGCGGGCATTTCATTATTTACGAAAAGTAAATAGGTTGGCGAAAAACAGTAGGTACAGAACCTGGTCACGTCGGTGACGCCCATTCATGTCCATCAACGAAAAAGGCGGGGCTTATTGTCATTACGAGATGCCAAAATGGCAACATAAGACGTAGCGCAGTGCGCTAAACGTCGTGTTATTTTCGTTTTTGTGCCAAACTCTATCGTAGGAAACCGTTCTAGCCTAGCAGAATTACCCTAGTTCCTGAGATCGGAGATTTTGTACTGTGATGGGTCCCCACCTATAAAAATTTTCCAAGGAGGTGCGGCGCGTAGGCAGTGATTGGAGGCACAAAGTGTCAATCATCGGCTCGCCTCGGCATCATGCCGCCATCACGTCTAGTATCGCGGGAAGGCGCGCGCGACTGTCTGTCCTTCACCGCGGACATCGCAATTGAACCACGGCCAGCGATCGTCCAGATGCTTCAATCCACGCCCACACTGCTAACATTAGCCTGGGCACGCTCCGCACATATACGCTCATATATATAGAGATAGATAGATAATGTATATATATATATATATATATAGATATATATAGATAGATATAGATAATGTATATATTATATATATTATAATATATTACACGGTTTCTCCCTACTTGCGCAAACCGGGCGCCGCCCGCCCCTTTGGGGAAACTCACCCCACGTTTCAATGTCGTTTGCCGCCCGTTAAATTACTGCTCCGCACCGATTAAATTCCAACTACACTACGCATGCACTGCAGACACACACAAGGACAAACAGTCCCCCTGCTCCTAACCGCTAACACAAACTGTACCGACTCGGCTGCCTTATATACAAGTACCCAAAATACCGTCTATGGTGGTAGTGGCGATTTTACGCCATTACGGTAAAAAAAACACGCCCCCCGGACCCCCCTAGTTTCCCTCCCCCCTCTCCCCCTGTTCAATTTCATCTGGGAGAACCCTGATATATATATATATAATACGTATTTTGAGGATTCCACTGACGATCTATGTATTTATTAGCCTAGATAGATATAGACACAGAACAAACACGAGAATCTTTTTCCGCGTGTAAGTGTATGCGAATCATATATCTATGTGTTATTATCTACTCTTGCTATATATATAGTGTGTGTGTGTGTGTGTGTGTGTGTGTGTGTGTGTGTGTGTGTGTGTGTGTGTGTGTGTGTGTGCGCGCGTGCGTGTGCGCGCGCGCGGGGCATTGTAGGTGACTGATCGATCTCGGGGTTGATGCAAAGTACACCGGGCGACCACGATCCCCGAGCGGCCATTTTGAATTTCTTTTCGTTTTTTTGCGAACTTAAAAAACGTAATCCTTATAATTTAATTGCAATCTTAAAAAAACAAACGAAAATCTATTGTTTTTCCCACCGCGTTGAAAAAACTCAAACAGTGGTTAATAATTTAGGAAAAGAATCTGCGCTACTAGTATACGTTTTCTTTCAATCCTCGGCAATTATCTATAGCTACACGTATTACACACTGATTATTTGTAATGTACTTTTTGAATAAATAAATGTCTAAATAAACAACCAATGAATCAATAAGACAACTAATATAGTCTGTTATCCTGTCTCCTACCCCACCGCGCACACGTGCACTTGGTTTTACGGAAAGGGAAACGAACTTTTAGGTAAACGAATTTTTTGCGTTCTAGTATTGAGCTACTGGAACTTAATTGGCATGCTAGGGCCTTGTATTAATTTTTTTTTAACTCACACGCACAAGGGATAATTTTAACGAGCAGAAAATGTCGATTATGCGTCCTTTTAGAAAGAAGTAGAAAAATGCGCCACGCAACACTACGAGCTTATGTACATGGTATCGTATAGACCTAGACCATGTCGTTGCCTTTGACGTGAAGTTAGATCCATTTTTTACTTTCTTCCTACAGTAGTTTTTTTGCGTGCAGATATTTTCGTTCTCCCTGGATTCACCATGAATCTTAGACTGTCTCTATATAAATTAATTACTATCAAAGCCTATAACATAGCAGTAATAAAATCACACGTATATAGCTGCCAATGTTAGAATAATAGAATTCCCATTTATTTAAATCATACCGTTATCAGAAAATAAACCCTGTTACAGTAATAATACATGATGACAATGAATAAAATGTATTTATAAAATTTCCACCAATTTGGATACGGATAAGCATGACCTTGGAATATATCACATGACGTTATTAGAAGTAACCTCTATAGCCTGTTAATTATCATAATGGTTAACTAGAACTGCTATAGTTTCCACATATCTATGGGAAAAATTTTCTCACTTCTTTGCAGAACGAAATGAGACAAAATGCCTAGTCTGGGGCAGATGACAAATAATGAGCTTGAGCAAAAATACATATCTACTATGTGGTGGTGCCAATATGAATTCATTAGCTAGTGGTGGTGCCATTGTCAGCATATGAGCCAGTGGTGGCGCCACTGTGTGCATGAGCCAGTGGTGGCGCCACTGTCCGCATGAGCCAGTGGTGGCGCCACTATCTGCATGAGCCAGTGGTGGTGCCACTGTCTGCATGAGCCAGTGGTGGCGCCACTGTCCACATGAGCCACAATCATAGCGATGTTTCATAAGTAACAATAACATACCAGCGTCCTGTCCATTTCAAATTTGATCTATAGTCTATCAATAGATAGACTCCTGATTTGATCTATATGCCTATAGTAACATTCCTTGTCATGCACATGCAACCTACTTGTATAGATACAGGTGACTGGTAAAAAATAACAGCATCCCAAAAACACATGTAGCTACTGCGAACACGTTCTGTAACTCTTAATCATGAGAGACAAATACACGTTTCTCTTACATAATACAAAGCAACTTCCGTCCAATAAGCACTACATAAAATAAACACATATTTTAGTTCTCGCACATAGAATCAGCTGCTCAGCCGCATATACGACAAAGATGAAGCAGAAGCAGAAGCAGAAGAAGAAGAAGAAGAAGAAGAAAGA